TTTTTTTTAACGTTTTGGACGATATTCATAATAACGATTATTCAGAACGAATAATCAAATATTCTGTGGATTTTCTATGGGCTCTCATGATCGAGTGTGCTGCTCCTATGAGCTATTGTTTAGTTTTTGTTTATTGTAGGTGGTTCCAGAGTCTGCATCAGACTGAGTGAAAACTTGCATGTCGCTCAGAGCAACACGCTCGTTCTTTGATAGAGCCACACCAACCACCACTCACTTCACGTTTTCCTTTCAAGACCACAAGGCCCTTCCTTCCATCGGACACCCCTCTCTACAGTCATGCGCGGTATATTCTACGTTGCTCTAGCCTTTGCGGTTTTAGCTCGCAGCAACGTCGTCGCAGCGTTCCCTCATCCCGACTTGTCCAAGACATTTCCTGACTCTGCGGCCAATGCCAAGAGATTCCTTCGGGGAGCGGGCCAAGAAGTTGCTCAGGCTAACAGAGGGAACGGGTATGGTGGGGTCTGGAAAGCTGCAGCCGATAGTGTCAATAAGATCGTCCCTAAGCCGAATATTGACATGAAAACTCTTCTCGAGAAGGCCAAGGTGGTTCAGGCGCTCAAAAAGAACACAAAGAGTAAGTAAAAAGGTGGCTACGTAAAGAAGCACGGCGAAGTAACATTGGATGAGGAGTGGGAAAGCCTACAGCTACACTCTTGCTGTTGCAAAAATGTGGTGTAAGTGTTCATGGCAGCATAAATCAGCCCCAAGGATACACGGACATTATGGACGACGATCTAGTAAAGAAATACATTTCAAAGCTTGACCGAGAGAAAAATTTCCGTCGTAAAATTCGCGACCTATGCGACGCAGTATGCTGGTAACCAATATAATAGGTCAAAACCGACAATTGGTCACATTATAGGTTATGGTACTGGGAGTTGCACCCCCAGACTCGAGACGCACGACTTTTTTTTTTTTGTGAGAATAAAATTAAGCTAAATTTATAAACATCAAAATTAAAAGTATGAAAATCAACTCCTGAGTCACTTTTACAAATTAATTAACCTTTAAAAATAATAAACGGAAGTATTTTACGGTTATTTTTGCTTAAACAAGGACAAAGGCAATCTGGTGGACAAAAGCCGAGCTCTAAAAGCTCTAAAGTTGGAATAAATAGGGCGAAAGAGCACGCTCAAGCTGCATCTCTCTGCTACAGTTCCTACGTTGTCTATATATTTTACTTTACGTGCGCTGCGGCGAAGTCGAGTCGAACTTCCGAGTTCCCATGGGCATCGTTTTCCCGTTCTGCGGTCCGATATTTCTTGCCGGTGGTGGCGACTTACTGCGTTGTCCCCCTGGACTCCCGTACGGACGACGCTGTGTCTGGTAGTATGAAATTTGCTCGGTTGTTGCTGCTGTCGGGCCAGTGGTAGCTCCGTTCGTCATGACAACCGAAACAGCAGAAGCCGAGCCGGGAGAACTCATCGGAGGTCCATGTTGTTGTAGAGGACCATAGTACGGCTGCTGGTATGCTATCATGGTGCCGTGATATGCTGCCGCCGCTGCTGCTTGTTGCTGTAGTTGCTGATGCTGAAGTAACAGCGCGTTGACCGCACCAGCATCCAGCGACGGCAGCAACGATTCCCATCGACGGTCTTCGTCCTCGTCACTATTAACCACCAAAGCAGGTTGAGGTCGCGGCGATGCCTTGTTCTTCTTCGTTGATCCCGAACTAGACGTTGACGCTGGCTTCCCGTGCCAGATCTGTCGTGGGTGAATCAGCAGATCTGGTCTCCATCCGTCTCCACGTCCGTACAGCTGCCAACACCGCGAGAAGAACGTCAACCCCACATCTTTACTCGTCTCGTCACTCAACAACTCAGTGTCGTCATCTTTGAGTGACGATCGCGGTGCAAGCATCAATGCCAGCTGGTCTCTCGCGAGTCGGAACGCACGCTTCATAACGGGAAATCCTTCAGCCGATACACTACGCGCCAAGTTGTTCTTGTCATCAAGCGGATCCACAATGTTACATGCCCGGATAGGGAACAAACCAGTCGGTGTTCCTTTGTTGCTCTTCAAAGCCGCATCAAACGCTCCAAACTGATCCGCCAACGTGTCACGAATCGCTTCAACGTCACCGACGTCCAGCTTCGCCGCTTTCAGCTTGGATTTGTACGTCGTGGCTCCATTCAACGGTGTAGTCGCCAGACGACTCAACGGTACAGGGCCATGCAGTGTCAACGCAGACTCGTGCCACGGGAACTCAGCCAGTCGATCCAAGAACAAATACAACGCCTGTAGCGGGTGGGTGAGAGCGTCGCCGTGCTGGTTGAACAGAGCCATCACGATCGTATTTACCGCGTACGTCGAGAGAGCTCCATGGCTCGCGCCCATGACGCTTGTCGGTGTACTTCCAGGAATCAACCCGCCAGCTTCGGTCGACGCTGTTTGCATGAAAGGACTCGACTCATGTGTGCACCAGGCCTTGATGAGGATGAGGCTCTTCTTGAACAAGTGCTGTCGTCCCACACGAGCCGCCATGGCATCCAGCAATCGCACAGCGCCTAGCGCTCCTACTCGGTTGGCTGTGAAGTCCACAGGAATGTTGTCCACTGTACACTTGACCACTCGAACGTCGGCGTTAATAAAAGTCACGTTGCGAACGGTATTCGTCAACAATAGCGGGCCACCGCTACTCCCCACAGCTGCAGGACCGGAAGGTGAGCTGCTACCGCTACCATCCGAACTGGTCGGGTTTCCTAGATCCAGCACTGTACCTGCACCGCCGCTCCCTCCAGCGACACACAACGCCTGCGTCACAATGTAGTACCACGAAGACTCCAGTCCCTGCGGTATCAGTAAACAAATGTCCAGGTCTGAACCTGGCAGATACGTTTTCATGGGGTACGAACCAGTGGCGAAGAAGAGCGGTGCTGCTGCAAGAGGGAAGTGAGCGGTAATTATCCGCTGTACAAAGGACAGAACCTGTTGACGCACGCGGTCTGCAGGAACGCTCGGCCCCATCCACTCAATCAATGTTTCGGCCTGACGTGCAGCTGCACTCTGCACTGGAAAGTGAGACCGCAAGCGAGAAACTCGACGTGCAAGCGCTGCTGCCTTGGCTTGAGCGCGAGCTTCAATACTCCTTGCGTCTTCTTGCGGCTCTTTCTCCTGCTGTGCTAACAGCATCTTGAGCTTGGCGATCTCGGCGTCCTTCTCCTTCAGCAGCTTCTGATGTGCCCTCAATTGCTGCTGATGTTGCTCGGCAGCTTGTAATGCCTGGCCATACGCGATAGGTCGAATCACGAGTGACGGAGGCTTCGAGATGCCTGAACTAGTGCTCGATGGTGATGCAGTGGGCGTCACGGAGTGTAGATGTTTACGTCCGTGCTCAGCGCTTGGAGTTGAACTCGAAGCTTCAGAAAGAGGCGACAAATCACGCAACCGTTGCATTTCTGCCATGTCAGCCAGCACGTCGCGAGCACGTTGAATATCGTCCTGTAGAGCGCTACTCATCTGCTTACGTTCAGCACGAGCTAGTGCCTCGTCAATTGCGTTCTTGTCACGCTCGTCCGATGCATGTTGAAGACTTGCACGCAGCTTCTTCAGCTGCCTTTCGCGCTTCTTTAAATACTTCTCGTCCATCAGCACTGCCTTGGCTTTACCGTGTGTGTCCTTCCCATCCTCACTACTACCTGAAGCCTCGTCGTTAGCATCTTCATCACCGTTACTCGGAGTGATCTCTACAGAAGTAGATGCCTGGTCCTCGTCTTCCACACTTGAGTTTTTCTCGTGCTCGGGAAGAGAAATGTCGTCTGTATTGTCCGCCTGGTCTTCAACATCGTTAGAGTGCGCTTGGATCTGTATCCTAACTGCTCCAGCTTCCAATGGCTCGTCAGCCTCCTCGTCCCACATGCTTTCCCACGCTTCATCGCGGGTCATAACGTTGGCCACAACGACAGGAGGCGGAGTAGTTGCAACTACAGGCGCCTTCTCCTCGCTTACCATCTCGACACTGTCACTTGCTTGCTGAGCTTCGCTTGGGACAGCCTCTGTATCGCTGTTATCAACCGACACGTTTTCCTCCGACTGCTTCTCTGCTTCTGACTCAGTATTTTGTTGCTTTACCATCTCAGAATCCTCAGGCTTTTCGGTCTCAGCACTTCTGTTCTCCTGTTCCTGTTCTAGAACTTCAGTTGGACTCGATTTTTCCTTTTTCCGGTCCTTCTTTTCAGCTTTTTCCTTTTTCTGCTTCAGTTTCTGTTCCTGTTCTCGTTGCTGTATTCGCTGCTGCTCTTCTCTCTCCAGCTCCTCTTCATCCTCCAGCAACACATAGCCAGCTGGAGGCTTATCATTTGCAGAGACACTATTTGGTTTTTTCTTTTTCTTCTTTTTTTTCTTCTTGTTCTTGCTTGATGACACGTTTCCATTGGTATTCAACACTCCAGCACCGTCCATATCGTCTGCATTTCGCTCCAGCCACGCCAAAGCTTCACGCTGTTTCCTCTCTTCGAACGCAGCTTTACGCTCACGAGTCTCCTGCAATTCCAACTGCGCTTCCATATTGTTAGCAAACGATTTCAGGATCTCATTATAATCCTCCTCTGCTGCGTCAAACTGGTCGTTAGCCAGTCGTAACCGCGCGCGACACAGCAGAGCTTGTGCCGCCAATTCACTCGTGATCTTCCCAGTTCCTCCAGCCTTCCCACTCTTCCCTTTTCCCTGCCCAATATTCACAGTGCCACCTGACGCGAGCTCCATCGTAACCTTCCCAGAACTTTCATCCACTCCAGGTTTATCAAAGTGAGCGTGAATAATAGACGAGTAGTCCTGCTCCGCTTCTTTAATCGCCCCCAGTTCCTCGTAGAGTTGCGCTCTCAACTTCAACCCGTTGATGAAAAACCCATTGACACGCAGCACAGCGGTCACTTCAGCCACCGCACCTTTGAGATCTCCACGTTGTCGATACAATCTCGCACGAGCCATAGACACCTGAAAGTCATGCGGATCCACCTCCAAAGCAGCTGCAAAGTCCGCCAGCGCGTCATCATACCGTGCTAGATGCATAAACGACTCCCCTCTTAACCGCAGCGTCTCGACATTATTTGGATCCAACTCTAACGCTCTGGAATAGTCCTGTAACGCTCGTTTCTCCAGTCTTCGAGACTCGATCCCTCGATACGGTTCTGGCTTGGGCGGGACTGAAGTATACGCCAGTTTAGACCCATTTTTACCAGTCTTCGGACTCCTCTTAACCTGTCCCTGCTCCACTGCTGCTAGTTCCGCGTCTTTCCGCTCCCGTGCGTCCTCTTCCAACGCCATTCTCTGCAATAACTTGGCTCTCTCCAGCAGCACGTCCAGCATACGAGCCCTGGGCTCCGCTTCCATCTCCTGAGGCGCCACAAAACCCGCGAGACCACCTACTCCTCCTGAAGCATCAAAGTGTCGACTCTCCTCTGCTTCCTCCTGTAATTCGATAAACCTGTCAAAGTCCCGCAGTGCCAGAGGGTCCTGATGACACTGCAGATACAGCTGTGCTCGCTCGTAGAACAGTTCAAGGTCTCTATGGCCGCCTGCAGAGTTCTCTGCGTGGCTCAGATCCTCCAGTGCATGCGTAATATTATTCATGGCCTTGTAGACCTTCGCTCGTGCCAAATACAAGCCCCGCAATTGCACTAAACTGGCACTTGAAGAGAGACCATCACTCACCATTTCCATCCCCCCACGATCGTTAAGTAACCCTTGAGTTGCTGCAAGACTGATAGCCTGGTTGTAGTCGAGCATGGCGGCGTGGTGCTCTCCCAGCGCTGCGTAGGCCTTGCCTCGCTTAGCATAAAGCTCGGAACTCTTTGGCGTCATCTGCATGACACGTGAGAGGTCCTCAATGGCCGGTTTGTACTTCTTTGAGGCCAGATAGCAGAGTCCGCGTTGATGATAGAGCTTCACGGTGCTGCTCTTGGTGCTTAAGTCTGCGGAAGAGGACGAGAGCGTCTCCAGCGCCTCAGTGAAGTGCGGGATGGCGGCTCCGAACTGTTTACGCTCCATGAGGGTGACTCCGCGCTCAGCAGCGCGCTCGGCCGAGCCCCGAGACCTCCGAGTGTTGGTCGTTGTGTTGAGGTGCTGTAGAGTGCGGTACTGGTCGATACCAGTGCGCAGCAGACGCGTGTCCTCGCTGGACGAGCTGCTGGTGTTATTATTGGCGTTCATCTTGAGGTTCATCTGCATCTTCATGCGCGTGGCCATGGGGATCTGTATCCTCTTGTCCACTTCGTCAAACTTGTCCGTCTTCTTCTTGCGGCCCGAGTGGCTGGCCTTATCCGTCTTCATCTGGGGCGGCAACTGTATGTTATGTCGTTGGTAGGATTTCCCACACTGTTAATATAGGAGAAGCGACGACACGAGTGCGGAATGGACCCAAGTGCGGACTCCGGCTAAGCCTGGCGTTTGTATGTGGGGGGAAGACGTTGACGACTGAGACCGCCGCTTGGCTGTTTATGTTGGTGATGTTCTGGCTGAATTTTATTTTAACCAATTGATGAATTTTATCTTGTTTTACAGCCAATCATAGAGCCCTCAGACTCTAGTCCACACAATACGTCTTTGAGCCTCCCATTCCGAGCCATTTAGACGAGTAGGCAAGCAGCGATGGCGTCTCTAGCTCTGGCTCGCAGTCTGCGCACATGTGCCCGGCGGTCGGCGGCGCTGTCGACGCGCACCTTTGCGTCCGTGCCCGCCTCCGATGCTCTGCCCAAGTTCTCCGTCGTGGACCACCCTGTGACAGCTGATGCAATTAAGCCTGAGGACTATTTCGCTGTGGTCAAGCTGGCAGGCACACAGTACAAAGTGACGCAGGGAGACGTCGTGATTACCGAGAAGATTAAGGAAGCCAAGGTCGGCGAGATCATGGATATTGATGAGGTGCGTCACTACAGTCGAAGAGATTTACAGACGTCGCGGGCGTCTGGCAAGAAGTACAGACCGAGGTACAGGTAATTAATGGCTATTTGTTGCTGTTGCTGCAGGTGCTGCTTCTGGGCAACGTGAACCAGACGATTGTGGGGCGACCGATTGTGGAGGGTGCCAAGGTGCGTGCGCGCGTAGAGGAGCAGACTCTGGATGCCAAGATCGACATTTTCAAGAAGAAACGCCGAAAGAACTACCGCCGCTGGAACGGCTTCCGTCGTCAGGTCACTGTGCTGCGAGTCACGGACATAGTCCCCATCGACGCCTAAACGGCGACTACAGAGACAAGCAGGTAGACGAACAGGGACTTTTCGCGAGCATGAGCTGTCAAAGGAGGGACTGCTGGTGTCGAAAATTGAGGTCTCTGTGGTTGTACAACAGACGTCTAAACCCAGCTCCATACTCCGCGAGTGTATATGCGATCCCAGTGGACTAATAACAGCAAAACCTTAGAAAAACAACACCATGCAGCTTTCCATTTGCCCAGGTCACGTTTTCACAAGTCACAGACTAAAACGTCGGTCACTAATATCCCGCATAACAGTGACTACATCACCTCAATTCAAGACCCTCTTAAAATATCCCACTTGACAGTTTCTTCTTTCAACACATTAGGTGTAATGCTTCATAAAAAATACCAGTCACTTTCATAGTCCTGACATCAAAATACAGGGCCCTTATTTGACTGGCCCTGATGAGCTCGGTATCCGCCCAATTGGGGTTGTTTTCATTCCCCAAGGGTTCACCACGCCCCCGTTCGTTTCCTCTTCATATCGATCACCATGGCCCACCCGGAGCACGACCACGCGCACGACCACGACCACGAGCACGACCACCACCACGAGGATGTGGACTCGGATGACGAGATCCCGGCCCTCGAGGAGGCCCCGGACGCCGCCGACGCCGAGAAGGGCAAGCACAACCGCTCGGAGAAGAAGTCGCGTAAGGCCATGCAGAAGCTCGGCATGAAGCCCGTGGGCGGCATCATCCGTGTGACCATCAAGAAGAACAAGAACGTGCTGTTCGTCATCTCCAAGCCGGACGTGTTCAAGAGCACGGTCAGCGAGACCTACGTCATCTTCGGCGAGGCCAAGATCGAGGACCTGAACGCCCAGGCCCAGTCTCTGGCTGCCCAGCAGTTCAAGGCCCCTGCCGCTGAGGCCCCCGCTGCTGACGCCGCTGCCGCCCCCGCCGCCGCCGTTGAGGAGGAGGACGAGGACGTCGACGACTCGGGCATCGACGCCAAGGACATCCAGCTGGTCATGAGCCAGGCTGGCGTGAGCAAGAGCAAGGCTGTGGCCGCCCTGCGCTCCAATGACAACGACATTGTCAACGCCATCATGGAGCTCACCATGTAAGCCTAGTATTATAGCCAAGGATAGGTTTGTCAGTGCGACAGCAATGGAAAAATGTCTTTTTGGGTTTTCAACAGTGGAATTTTGTGAAATGTACGTTTTGTTTTAAACTTCTGTTTGATTGACAGGAGTTGGCTTGGTCAACATATCGCAAGGATTTTCAGTAGTGTTCTACAAGTTGCGACTATCATGGTGCGGATCAAGCACAAGTTCAGTGTTAAGTGGCCGCGTGTGGATCTAGAGGGAGATGAAAACTCGGACTTCAACTTCGGATCCGACGAGGACGAGGTAGCGAGCAAAGTTGCGGCAGTTGCTGCCGTGGTGTTGCCTGCTCTCAACTTGTCAGTCACTGATGCACAGCAGCAAGATATCGTTAGCGATGCTCATGACCTGCTACAGTCAGCGGTAAAGCGCCAGAGAGAAGGTAAAAGTTGGGAGACGCAGGGCCATTCGAAGGAGCCTCGGCTCGAATCGAAAGTGCTAATGTCTTCACTTAACAGATCAGGAAAACAGTCATGGGGTAGGTGGATGGGGAAACCAGACAACCTGCAGCGTCCCAGCAAGATGCGAGCTCCTACACCTGTGCCGAGGCTAGCGGCTAACGTGATTGATAAGGGTATAGATTTCAGTCAAGAAAATAGTGCTGAACTGATTGGAAAATTACCATCTCCAGTAGTCAAGGGACCTAACAATGAGCGTCCAAAAATTATTGTGATGCGAGGAGATCCGACAGATTGGAGCACGGCAGCTATAGTGAGTGACACGAACAGTTTGCTACACCACAAAAGCGGTTTGGCGGCGACTATTGTACGTAAAGGTGGATGGGGAATCCAGCGTCAGTGCTCGGAGTGGATATATTACAATGGTGAGGTTCCAGTTGGATCGGCAATGTGGACAACAGCGGGTAATCTCTCGAGCAAGTACATTATCTACACTGTCGGCCCTAATGTTAGTATTCACCGTTCGCCAATGCCACACCACCAGTTGGAGCTTCGATGCGCTGTTCGAAGTGCTCTCAATGAGGCCGATAGCCTGGGTGTGTCGTCGGTTGCCATGCCAGCACTATGCACTGGGGTATGTCGCTATCCGAAATACCTGGCTGCTCGAGAAATCGTGACGGAATGTCTGGAATTTTGCGATGAATGTTCATTGACATCGCTGCGTCTTATTGTGTTGATGAACGAGGATGAAGTAACGACATCAATCTTTGTGCAGGCTTTGAATGACACGAGACAGCAGCGACAATTGGAGCGGCAAGCAAATGAACAGACACTTGGAGATGGACTTGATGCTAGTGACAGTTCCAGCACTATGTCTGACGTCGAAGAATCGACATAGGAGGCTACCGTGCTGAGAACAAAAGAATGAATGAGCAAGGCTGAGTGAATGACTGGCCAGGGTTGCAAACGGCACGATATGCGTGCATCGAATCTAGACAAAGTCCTGAAAACGATAATTCTCTACATATTCCAGTACAATTTGGGTATTATTGCGGAGGAGAGCACATTTTGAGTACATTGTGGTTTTGTTTTAGCCTCAAAATTCTAATACAACTATCGAGGGGATCGTCTTGAGCGATATTTTATTGAAAGGTTTCATATTTTGTCATTTATTTGTTACTGATATCTGACCTCTGCTGTGACGTACGAAGTGTGGTCCACACTTCAAGCTTTGCTGAGAGCAGTGGTGCATGCATGCGCAGCTCTGGCCTTCATAGCGGAGGCCTTTGCCTGTCTGGATAGTGCTTG